TTTTTATACAAAATTTCGCAAGAGCTTTTCTACTTCTATAAAAAAAATCACAAGAAAGTCACGCAAATTATAGCCATGAGATATTTTCAATTTTTATTAGTTTTTTTAACTATTAAATTTGTTTATACAAATATATAATGCCAGGGTTACTCGACGTTATCGCTCAGAATCGTCTTTCGTTTTTTTTATGTGTTTGTTCATTGAAACCGGCGATAACAAACTGCGTCCGAGGACCGAGGGACAGGTAAACCTAAAATCGTTCATGCTAACGGGTGAAACACGATTGCGGACGTTTTACCCTATTTGCAACACATTTTCGGACGATCACTATAAGACAAAGTATTATTTTGCACCCAAAAAATGATACGACTCCGGACGAAATTTAGTCAAACGTTGCCAAATTTTGCGATGGAATCTAGTCCAACGATTATCAATTCAAAGACCGGCTAATCGTTCGGATGTCTAGTGAGTATCGACTAAAACACGGTTTAAGATATGTATCTACATAATTACTTAAGTATATGTATAATATTAACAGTAATAAAACAAATACAAATGATGATAATGTATAATGACAATGGCGTCGTATTTCTATAAACTATAAAGTATACAATATTATGGTTATAAAAAAAAAGTAAAAGTGTTATACCTAACCGTTACAGGTGTTGTATAAATTAAAAAGTCCAGATAATATAAAGCAGGTCTCGCATTATTATTATTATTATTATTATTAGAAAAAAGTCTAAAATAATATCATTATAATTATAAATACAATTTATTTGGATGTCATCCAAAATACTGGAACAATCTCATTACACCAGCGGTTCTCAAAATGTGCTCCGCGTCCGCGGAGCCCTAGGGCTTCGCGAGAGTAGCTTAAGGGCTCCATGGCTCCCTGAGAATATCTGTATTAATTAAATTTAAATTATTAATATTAATTAAATAATTTGTATATATTCGTATTTTACAGAAAATAAAAATAAAAAGTAAATCATTTACAATTGACATCATTTTTTATGAATTGTTGTCTCGTAGACATTTGTGACATTTCTGATTTTTGTGGCTCCGTAATTTTTTTTTAGGAATATAAGGGCTCCGCGAACAAAAAAGTTTGAGAACCGCTGCATTACACATATAAAATGACCAAGAGGATGTTTGTAAATGAGGAATTTTCTAGTGTTCCAAAATATAGGATCAAAAAATACGGTTTATGATAATATAGCTATTATGGTATCTAGATAACAAATATAGGTGCCAACATTTTTTACATAGCTCACTAGTCACTAAGATATAAAGCATAATTTTACTATAGAATAAGTATTTTGGTAAATTGTTTAATAAACATTTTTTCTTAGTGTGGGACTTTTTTTCCGATTACCTAATGAATTTGTCCGGCCATTTCCGAATTTTGTACGACATTGGTTTTAACCCAGAAAATTCTATTTTCTACGGGCGGGGTGGGGAGAACTATGGCTCAACCTAAGAGGAAAACAACTTGTTCTATTTTATGTACTCCAATATTGTTTCTTTTCCCGCCACACCCGTTGAAAATTGAATTTTCCTATTTAACCTTACATGCTGTACAAATTTGTGAAACGATTGTATAAATACGTGTTAAATATTGGCGTAGAAAAATTTGGAAAATTTAAAACGGATGGAATAGGGAAAATGTAAGTATTTATTTTTTCAGTGATTGTGACATACCTAGTTGAAGCCAAGGTCTTAGAAGTTAAAATAAAAGATATCCTTTAAGAATAGAATCTATGAATATAAGAATAGATGCAATTTCAATAAAAATAACTAAGAGGGTGCTTAAATTATGCATTTTCTCATTTTAGTTTTTTCTTTTGTAAGAAGTTTTTGATACATAAACACGTACATTATTTGATGGAGATAGTTTTAAAATTGGGAGAGCTAACTGCTAATACTTTCTAAGCCCCTTACTATTTTCGCCTATGAATATAAGAACCAATGTCAAGAAATGACATAATAGATCTATTATAGACTATAGAGTAAAACGTACTGTTTAATATGGTATCTATACTAATTAAAATACCTAGACATTTACTTTAATTCACTAAAATTTAATGGAAAAATAAAGAACTATTTAAATACTTGATAATTGTGGGCCGTGGCAAGGGCGTCCGCAGGAATTTGTCAAGGGGAGGGCAAGGTATTTACATTTTTAAATTTTTGTTTCATTATCTGATTGGTGATAAAGTACCTWATTGTTTTTGACGAGTTCTATCATATAGATAGGGAATGTAAAAATTAAATTATTAATTATGTGTATGGTCGGAAGTGTTGGAACTTAATCTTACAGTATTAATTTTAATCAAGTAACGTGCAACTTTATCTTRACAAATGCATTTTYTTTATATAAATAAAATGTAATCATTGACTTGATAAGTTTAGGTTATTTATAAAATTAAATGTTTGTAGCTTCTATAAAATAAATAAAAAACTACCAAACCATTTGGTAGGTCA